AGAAAACGGAGGAGGACTCAGGCAAGACCAAACCCCTTTCCCCATCACCAGCTTCCCCTGCCACCCTGGAGAGCCCACGCCACGCGGTGCCCTGGGAAGACGGCCCCGATCCAGATGCGCCCTGCGCTGTGTGGTCGGCCACAGGCTTATCCATAGGGAATTAAACGGAGCTGATGTCCATCTGCCGTCCCTGTTGGTGCCCTCCTCTCTCCTCCCTTGCTCCGTGCTAACACGACGGGATGTTATTCCAGCCGTGGTCCCCCCCTCCAGTGAGGAACCGATGCTCCGTCTGCCGGGGAGCTCCCGCATCCTCTGTCCCGGCAGATCAGCAGAGCCCCTTTGAAAACAGGTACTTAAACAAGAGCCTCGAAGAAACCAACCAACCCCTTGAAACTGAAACTACTTCAAAAAAAAACCCAAAAAGTGTAACTGCCCAAAGCGAGACCCGCTGCTGGTGCCGTCACTCTTGATCCAGGTCTGGGGCTGGATTCATGTTGCTTTTTAAGTTGGAAATTAACACGGCAAAGAGTTTTCTAGCTGGAAAGGGACATTGAATACCTTGTTACGTGTCTACTGTCATCACTTTCTGAGGGTAGCTGAGGTTGCTGAATTTTTCAGTGATAAATAGGAGCGTTTGTGTTACTGGTTTCCTTGGAGGAATTTGTTGGCATGGTCTGGCTCTGACTGGTATCCAGCCTTACCGTAGGGATCCTGGTGCCAGTGGTTTTCCTACTGCAACATTGGCTCAAGTGTGAGATCTTCTACCAAGCAGGGTAGACATCCCCTCGCTGCAGCGCAGATAAGAAGCATCAGCCTCTGATGGCAGTCGGGAGGGAGCCCGGAGCATCCCATGAACATCCCACACAGCTCAGCACTGGCGTACTGGGAGGGGTCCTGGGAGCTCTCAGTGGCCTGGTGCTCCCTCCATGCCTAAGGCCAGGCAGGTGGGAATGATGCTGCTTACAAAGACACCGTGGGGTGACACCCGTGGACCCCCGTCCTCCTCCGGTCCCTTCTCCCCTCCTCTGGCTGGGACTGAAATAGGGCGTTTTGGAGCTTAAAGGCCAAAGCTGTAAAATGAGACATCTGCAAGAAGGCAAACCTCTCATCTCTTGGAGCCCTGGAGGGGGGCAAAGCCAGACAGCAAATTAGTTGTTTAATTGCTGTGGCAATTAGCCC